ATTTAATCACGGCATGTTCATTTGTCATAAGCACCATATCTTAGTGCTGATTCATACAAGGCTTTTATCAAACAACCCCCCAAAACTTTTAAGCATAAATTACTACTAAACTAATAATTTCCAATCCTGCACTTCTGTAATTCCATTTTGGGGACCAAACGTAGGACTTTACACCTAAACTCTGATTATCAAGTGGTGTCATTTCTCTGGCTTCCAGCTTCCTCATCTGCAGCGTGAAGACCTAGAGCCAGAAGGACCTTGAGCTCCTTCCAGCTCTTACAGTCCCTAGCCTCATGCTGGTACCAGGCACCTACTGGGAGCCTTGGTCTGTCTGTTTAGGGATAAAGAATCCAAAAGACTGAAAGTGAACCACATTATTTCAGATCTCAAACTGTGATCATATCTCCTTGAGGAGCATCTCAAATTAGAGTGAGAACCTGCCACTCCTCTACCCCACTGCCTTCCACCCCAGAAGGCAGAAAAGTCCCCATTTGCACAGGGCAGCAAACAGCCAATAATGCCACTAGACTGTCAGTAGTGGGAATCTGGAAGTTTATGAGTGTAGAAAATCATTCACTTTGACTGCTGGAATAATTCAAGTCTCCTAGGTTAATAAGTAATATGGCTTTCGCAAACGTCAACTGGAGGACAGCGTTCCATCTCAGTTGCCACACTTTCTAAAGACCAACTCCTACACTCTCTCCAATCTAACTTCCACCTTCTGTAATACCTGGGGAAGATACCCCCTCTCCATCCCCCTCTTCCTCTCCTTGGCTTCTCCGTAATGGTTCACGGCTGCTGTGAATCCTCCCTTTCTGACACATCACTGTCATCCTCCTCAGAGCTTCCCTTATGCCACTTCCCACTGTCTGTGGGGGCGGGGGGTCACCTAACACTTCTCTTGGGGAAACCTACTATGTCCTCTTGTATCAGGATCTGGGACAATGACCACTGTCTAGTGGATTCCAGTTTCCTGTGCAGATGGCACGTAAGCTAGCTGTCCATCCTCAAAATTCTCAATATCCACCCCAGATCACTGTGTGGCTGCAAGATACACCTCTCTTGCAGGAGCCTTCTTGCCAACCAAAAAGGGCAAAGAAGGATTCACTTTTTGAGCCTTGCCTATGGGTCACCCTAACTTTGACCAGCTTTCCCAATGCAGCAGAAATGTCTCCCTAAGACTGGCCTCTTCAACAAAGAACTCAAAGTCAAGTTCACCTGGCCTCTGTACTGGTTCATGTTCTTAGTAACCAGTTCACAAGGTCCACTGAACTTAAGAATTCAGACATTTTCATAGCTGTCTGACACAGTAATTTAATGTCTGTTGGACTAATAATAAAATATTTGGACTTATATTTTGTGTGTCATTTTTATTCCGTTCTTCTGGTAAGTCATTTTTATTGCATTTTATAAAAGTTTCAATCCATACAGACTAAAA